CTTACGACCACGATCAAAGCGTTACGATAGATGTAGCCTAGGCCTAATGGCCGCGTTCAGCAGATACAACTGTTGAGTTCGTCTTATCAATACTATGCGTTGATTGGTTGGTTCTAAAAGTAAGAGCCAATCATGTTCGACTGCTACTGAGCGGCTTAATCTGCTGAACGCGCTCATTGGGCGCGCGCAACAGACCAATGAGATATCAATAACACGCTCCAGTCGCTTTAAAATACATGCTCCCCGCGATATATTTGTCTTACAAAGAATAAAAAGTACGTATGTATATTATAAACTATAATTTTTATTATAAAGAGAGTGAATTTTTATACATTACGTTTACAAATTTTAATTTTTTATGCTTATAAATATTTATTAATTATATTTAAAGGTAAGAATATATATAAGGGGCTATATTTGAGTCAATTAAAGAAAAAATGGGGTGAAAAATTTTCAAGACAGAAAGGAGCTTTTCAATTTTCAGGATAGTGGGGCTTTTTGGCTTTTATCCAACTTTTTCTTCAACTGACTCAAATCTCAAATAGCCCCTCCTTACTCTTATACAGTTTTTATATTTACAAATTTCAATTTTGTAACACAGCACACTTATAAATATATCAAAATCTTGTAGGAAGAGAATTAATAAATCAACAGTAAATAAATAATTGCACATCAACTCGACGCTAACTCAAGAGTTTTTGAACCTGAATAATAGCTATAGCTCGACAAGAGGAGACAGCGGATCTGCAGTCCTCCCAGGTGTTTGAACGTTTTGAAGCAGCTGCCCAAGTGTCGAGCGAACACGGACGTGGTCTTCGCTTTGGTTGGACGCGTTACCCCAGCACAATCCCCTCCACATGCCGTAAGCATGCTGCTGAGCTGAGGTTTGTTCTTTGTAGCTGCACTGGGACTGCACTAGAACCGGACCAGTACAAGCGAGGACAGGCCAGTGCCAAGAGTGCAGGTTGCTTATAAAGAACGATATTCGTGCAGAGTGGTGCAGAGTAGTACAATATGGAGTACGAAGATTTACTGATAGATTCATCCGATGACGAAAATGTTGTAATGCCACCGATTTTAAATATTTTATTGGAAGATAATAATGGTAAGAAGTAATGTATAAATGCAGTAATACAATAATTGATAAAATTAAAATATATATGAAGTCTAACCTATTGACATATTTGATCTTTTAGAAAACAATGAATTAGTACATTTGCCAGTTTATGGACTAGTTGGAAGGGTTGGAAGGATACAGCACATCAAAGTTGTTAACTATATAGAAAATATAGTTAGAAATTATATAGCGAGAGATTTTCTGATGCATTTTCGATTATCAAGAGCCGTAGCATATGAGCTCATAAATCAGTTCGAAGTATCCGATATATTTATCGAAATATCAAGTATGTGTATGTTTATATATATATATATATATATATATATATATATATATATATATACATTTATATAGAACCTTTCCTGTATAATTGTCAAAAAACACTCTTATATATTAAGTGCCAAAAATCACTCCCTACATCATGAAATATATTTACAATTAAATAGATTATAAAGATTGATAATATAGCATTGATTAAAGTACAATCAAAGGAAAAAGAGATCTATTCTCTGTAGTTGTATTATACAAATTAAAATAAATATATAATTAAACATTTATTGAAAGAAAAAGTGCAATGATGAAAGTACAAAGAATTCACTCGAAACCAGAGCCAATTCCGATTATTGTATAGTTTAATTTTAAAACATTATATATGTATAAAAAAGATATATTTTATGTAAACCTATGCTAATTTTTCAGATCATGCAGGAAATTTAAAAATAACTGCAGAGAAACATATCCTGTGTTATTTGTGGTTTGTTGGCCATGAGAGTGCATCTTATCGAGATGTAGCAGATCGATTCGGTGTTACTATTAGTTGTTTACATACTATAATTACGAGAGTTACACAGTTTATTATGACATTAGCCCCAAATGTTATAAGATATCCGACAGCCGTCGAGAAAGAAGAAAGTGCTACATATTTTCTACAAGAGAAAGGATTTCCTGGTGTTATAGGTAAAACATTTATGTGTTTCTTTATATATATTTTGTATACAATTTTTTTCTTATATATTATTGTTTCTTTTTAAGGGGCCATAGATGGATCTCATATAAGAATCGATAAACCAATGGAGGATCCTGATTCTTATATCAACAGGAAATCTTATTTTTCTATACATATGCAAGGAACAGTGAACCACAAAATGAAATTTATTGACGTGTTTATTGGATATCCAGGCTCCGTTCATGACGCTAGAGTGTTAAAAAATTCAACAATATATGCAGATTTACGGCAACTTTGCGGAGGTAAACTGAAAATAAAAATAAGCAGAAAATCAGTTTAAAGATGAGATTACATACATCCGACAACGACTTGTCGAATTGGCTGTGAGATAAAAAATTTCTCAAGTCTAGAAACTTTCTATCTTGCAGCCTATCGCTACGTCCAACAATGTCATTGTCGGATGTAAGAAATCTCAGCCTTACAACACAATGTATGTTGTATGTATGTATGTACATTGCTGAAAAGCAGCCACAATGATTGCGGTCATTGTAGAGAAGCTTTAATGTATTTATTGCATTGTTAATGTATTTAATGTATTATTACCATTAATATTTTTTATTATTTAATATTTATTTTTTATTCATAATATTACCAAAAATATTATTTTTTTAGATAATTATATTCTATTAGGAGATAGTGCGTATCCTTGCTTATCACAACTAATTGTGCCCTATAAGGATAATGGCCACTTAACTCGACGTCAAAGAACCTTTAATCAAAAATTAAGTTCTTCGAGAGTAATAATTGAAAATGCATTTGGCTGTTTAAAACAACGATTTCGTCAATTATATCATTTCAAGTTAAGAGATATTGTACGGATGGTACATGTTATTCATGCATGTTGTGTGTTACATAATATAGCAAATGCACAAGATTTACAATTTTTCGAAGATGCCATAGATGATCAAGGACCAGACATTGCAGCACAAAACCAACAAGTAATTGATAATCTACCAAGAGAATATGAAACGAATACACAAAAACGAGATGAAATATGTCTTCAAATAACTCGAGGATAAGAATTAAGAATAACTTTGTATCAATGTATTATATATATATATATATATATATAAATTTACATGTAAATTTATAATAAATGTGTAATTCATATATAATTAAAGAGAGAGGATGAAATTATAAAAAATATTTGGTAATAAAATGTATCTATATTTATTTGTAATAAAACAAACATAAAATTACATATCTTGTAATTATTGATCCTCTGATCCTTTGAATAATTATTAATCATTATTAACCAAAATAAAAACATATAATCACAGTTACGTATCAAGTGTGTTTTTATCGCTGAACTTACTTTTACATTGCAGTTCACACTTGTAGTTAAAAAAAAATACAAATGTTAATGTAACTTTTAAACTAAAACAAACATAAAATTACATATCTTGTAATTATTAATCCTCTGAATAATTATTAATCATATTAACCAAAATAAAAACATAACATAATCACAGTCATGTATCAAGTGTGTTTTTATCACTAAACTTACTTTTACATTGTAGTTCACACTTGTAATTAAAAAAAATGTTAATGTAACTTAAAAATAAAAATAAATACAATAAAAATAATTGTAAAATTATTTCCACGCAATATAGCTTTAAAGTTTTTTACTTTTTTCAGAAAGAAGTTCATTCAGTAATTCATTTCTTTCTGCTCTTAATTTGTTAGCAATTGTCATTTCCTCCTGTACTTTGATCATATGTTGTTCATATGCTAATCTTAATTTACTATGTTCTTCTAGTATTTGTTTTTGTATTTCATGCCTCTTTTTATTTTCTGCTTCTATTTCACTTCTTAGATCTTGAATACTTTGTTCATACATGTGCAAAGCTTTTGCTGTTGTTCCCATTTGCTTCTTATGACCTTTTGTCTGTAATATTTACATTTTAAAAATATTTTAAATGTAAATAAAGATATGGGTCCAATACATATTTTTTTACTTACTACATTATTATGGTTCGTGTCACTCCGTACCGTTTCTTGAGATGTTGAGGATTC